TCGACTCATAGTGACCCCTCTTTGCGTTTCCGAGGCGGTATCTCTACAGAAGTAGACTGCCCAATCTTCCTTCTGAAGAGTGGCTGGTGGGTTTGAACCACAAGTCTTCTGGTTAACAGTCAAATGCCTTAGGCACTATGCCACCAGAACTGGCTATGATTTTGGATAGAGCAGTTATGGCCCATCTCATCTAGAATTTTGTTTACCCTTCTAGTGATTCATAGTCTCGGAGGCAGAGTACCCGACAAACAAGGTAAGCACAGACTTATTTGTAGTGAACAATTTCATGTTTTCACCACACCGGTATTAGCAAAAATAAGCTGGTCCTTACCTTGCTTAACTGGGTATCTTAACCTTGCCACCCATGGTAAATTTGAAAAAAGGCTTTGATTTTGTAGGAAGGTGCTGTGGGGATGAGAGACAGATGCCAGCCATATCTAGAAGCACAATTTTGATCTGCTTACTTACTACAGATTAGTAAGGAAGAATAAATAAGCCCGTGTTTACCTTGCTCATTGGATAATTTGACAGTGCGTGGTCCTGGTGAAGTTCATCCTTGGTTTATATTCTCTTGGTAAAGAATTGTCCTTTAGACATTGTGCAAATCAGTTCACAATTTTCAAAAGTCAACAAGTTATTTTCCGTGTGTTCACTGAACATTACTTCAATTTGCTTATGATAGTTACCTTTGAATTAAATCAAATAACATTATACAAACTAGAAAATGGGTGTCGATTTGGATTTCAAAAAATAAACCAAGGACACAGTGGTTGAATAACTTTTAGTCGCTGCTCTTTATCACTGTTTTCTGGCGTGATGACAGGATTTAACTTCTAGAGTTCCTGATTTTCACCTTTCTTGCAAGCGTACTTAAGGCTTTGCACTTCTCAGAGAACATAAAGCTTTCTCAAAACACAAGCAAACAAAACCGGGCAGAATCCACGTAACTTGCATAGACAGGGATTTACCCAATACCCCTTCTATTTTTAGCCAGATCAACTGCTCGCCAATTCAAGGTTTCTAGAGAGAGATGGAGCTCTGGTAGCATAGTGGCTAAAGCACTTGACTGCTAACCAGAAGGCTGGCAGTTCAAACCCACCAGCCACTCCTCGGAAGGAAGGTTGGGCAATCCTACTTCCGTAGTGATACTGCGTCGGAAACCCAAGGAGGGGTCGCTATGAGTCGGGGCCGACTGGACGGCACATAACAACAACAGAGAGAGAAACGCACCTAGTATAAAACAGAAACGTGTAGGGTTAAGCCTTTGCCAAGTATCGTTCGAAATCCCCTAAGACTACTCCTTTCGAAACTCTGTATAGCGATTGCCTTTGTGGTGTTTTCAGTCCGCCTCAGCAACCCCACGGGCTTGTGTACCGGGAAAGCTTCTCCGCCCGGGTCCAGCTCTACCCGGCCCGGGGGCGTGGCCGTGAGACGAAGGGGGCGTGCCCAAGACCGTGGGCGGGGTCGGGAGAGCCAGGAGGCGGAAGTTCCCTCTGGCCGTGGGGACGGCGCACGCACCGGGAGTCACTTGTCAGTGCTGGTCTGAGGCGGAGGCAGCGCCGTGCCGGACTCGAGGTGAGTGGCTACCTCTGGGGATGCGTTCTCAGTTCCGCAGGGAGGACGGATAGCAGAGGTCACTGAGTGTAGGGCTCGAGGACCGGAGCCAGCTGGGGAGAAAAAAGGGGCGTGCTTCTCACCAGGGCGGCTCTTCAGGTGCCGTCTCTACGGGGAACGGCTGAGGAAGGAGTGCGGCTTGGGGGATAGGAGCGTCCCGGGGAAAGGAGCGCAGCAAGTCCCGGAGCCCAGGCCGGCCGGCCGGCGCGATTGCGTTAGAGCCCGGGGAGCGGGAGCAGAATACTCGTCTGCACTTGGAGGCGGCGAGGGCCGGCGCGAAAGGGCTCCAGGACACTTCGTGCCACCGTCGGGCAGGCTGCTGGGCGTCGCCAGGCATGCCAAGCCTCCACGTCTTGCCCGAACCTCTTAGGGGTTTGGGAAGGAAGCGGGACCCAACGGGGAAGGGCATACCGTTTTTTATGTTTGCTTTCAGCCTACTGAGAAGCATTTATTTTCCCCGCAGATATTTACAGTTGTGTAACCTGTTTCGGGAAAGCTTTCGTGCGCCTAGAAATAAAGATCATTAAAACAAAAACAAAAGCTACTGTCTTTAGTTCCAGATTTATTAACACATACGTACACGTTGGGGATTTTGGCTTCGGTAAGTTTGACAGTAAGTGGAAAAAGGAAGTGCGTACAGACAGGGCAGAGCTTGGAAAGAAAATTCGTGGCTGCCCTGGGCAGGGTAGGTCTAGGGTGTGATCGCCAGATCCTATCCCAAGTCCGCCTTCCTGACCGTGAGGACGTCTGAACCCTGCGGCCACGGAAACAGCCCGCTCGGGAGCCTTATTTGGCAAACAGGGCTAGGCGTGAACCTTCTGTTGGAAAAGTGTCTGGTCGTATGCTTTCATCCTTTTGCTGTGACTTTGGTTCTTCATTTCTACCTTCATCATCTTTCTTAATCTGGGGAAGAAGAATCTCAAAATACTTTTTTGTAGTTTCAGGCTCTTGTTTAAATCATCACCTCCCCCACCAAGAGAAGCTGGGATAGAAGTGTGGGAAATACCAACCTCTCTTCCCCAGTACTAGAGCAAAAACGTTGTTTAGGTTTTCCCTAAAAGAAAACACAGAAGTTCCAGTATTTCCCACACATTTGAAAGCAGTAAGCTGCTCAACATTTCCTGTCTGTTGGGTATTTTCGGAAGGGTTGGGCACTACTAACCAGATGCTTTTCAAGGAGACCTGAAAAAGGCCAATAATAATATTGCTATTACTTAGGCAAATGAATTCTAAATGAAGCTAGCAGAAGGAGAATACTAAAGAAAGGGAAACACTGGTTCTGTAGTGTGGCTGTGACCTGCCAGTGCTAGAAATTTTAATACCAAATAGCAGAAATCAGGAAAGGAGCTCTAATTAAAGGGAAGGTGAATATACGAGGGTTGATACAGAAATGAAATATATGTTCTTGTAGGAACAATGGGCCAGAGGAAATTGAACCCAACTTTATACTCGTTCCCTGTCTCAAGTTAAAGATTAAAAACAAACAAAAAAAGATTTCAGGCTGCCTGTGAAATGTCATTCGGGTTTATGTGATTCTGATTTGTATTGTGTGCTGACATTAAAAGTTTTTCTCTGCTAGTTGTACGAAAATCTCTTTATTATAGAGTGAAAACAAATTAAAATTGTGTGGCTCCTCATTACCTTCCTACTGTTGTTTTTTTTATGTTATCTGTAGCAGTTGGACTTCTGGCTTGGCATTTGGGTCTTTTTAGTCCCCTTTGCCTGTTACTTCAGTAAGATGTGTCATTGCATAGTAGTTGTGTACTACTGAGTCAGTGGAAAAGCTCATTTAATTTGTAGGTAGATGCTGTGCAGACTTTCACTAATTTTTCTTTAAGAATTAGGCTTATTTGAAAGTTTTGCCTAATTTTCCCTTCGTGAGAACAAAGAATCAGTTTGCTTTTAATATACTCAGTGGTTTGAATATCTTCATCTGCCCCTATGAATTTGATGTGATAGGATAGAAATTTAAAAGAGTTAGTAATAAGGTGATTATTTTGTTGGACATCTCGAGTTGTCCAAGAAGAATATCATAAAGAGCCTTTTTAAAAAAATGTCTTTTTAAAGTTATACATATTCTGTTATATTTTTTAAAAGAAAGAACTATTATATTCCTTAGTATTATATTTTAAAAAAGCCCCATTCCTCTCAAGTTCTTGTACCCCATAAAACCACCAATACCAATCTCCAAGTCATACTGTTTTTTGCTTTAGTTTTTTATTTTATAAAAGTATTACCATGAGAGTCATTACAAGCACGCTTAAAGTAAAACACAGGAAAACAAAACAAAGCCCTGTAACATTAATACTTTTCTAAAACTCCAATTCAGTTTTATTCATTAAGATTAACCATGTGCTGCTCATTCAAAAACCAAACCAAACCCAATGCTATTGAGTGAATTCTGACTCATAGGGACCCTGTAGGAAAAGAGTAGAACTGCCCTATAGAGTTTCCAAGGCTGTAAATCTTTACAAAAGCAGACTGCCTTGGAGTGACTGGTGGGTTAGAACCACTGACCTTTTGTTTAGTAGTCCAATCCTTTAACCACAGTGCCACCCGAACTTAAGTTTCTTGTTCATCGTGTGGTAAATGCTTACTCTACTTTGATGAGTGTGTGTATAAAGTAAAAAGAGGTTCTGACTAAAATATCTATGCTGGAGTATTGCTTGTCATTGCCTATGTGAGGGAAAAGTATATAGTATATTACTCTAAGTGTGGAAAATACCATATCCTTGTAAAAGCAAATACAGGTTGTAGTAATGATTGAAAAGAACAGTTTTGTGCATTAAAAAGCTTTTCCTTTTAAAGAATTTATTCTTTGGATTTATAGTCCCTTTCATATGTTTGAGTAAATTCGAATTTAAGTGAGTCAAACTGAAGTAGTCTTGCCAACTGAGTGCATGATGCGTGAAGAAGGAGAACATCATTTTGAGTTAAACCTGGAATCAAGTCTTATTTTTTCCTATATACGGATTATACAGATACATACAGGAGTGTTATAAAGTGCTTTAAGTTTAAATGCAAGGAACCACAAAATTGGATATAACAGGTTGTAAAACTGATACAAGTTTCTAGAAGTATATTCCAATATGGAATGTTCATACTGTGGAAATTGGTATGAGTGCAGAAATTGTGTATTAGCTTACATATATTTCTTTTCTTAGACTGAAATTAATGAGAACTTAATATAGACTTGTGTCTTCTACATTCTCTTTCACCAAGAAAACCCAAAAAACAAAAAAATCCCATAGAACATATTTTAGTTGGTCTTTATATTAAATTCATTTAAATATGTAATAAAGTTTCAAAGAAACGTTTTCATTAATCATCTAATTTTCTTTCAGTTTTTCACATCTTCTGGGACTGGACTTTGAGCCATTAGAGCCATGAGCAACTACAGTGTGTCCTTGGTTGGCCCAGCTCCTTGGGGTTTCCAGTTGCAAGGTAGCAAGGATTTCAACATGCCTCTGACTATCTCTAGTGTAAGCATACTTTACAGATTTTATTACAGATATTCGTTCAGTGGTCTTGGAACCCTTATGGCTGAGTTGTCAGATTGTTTGTGGGATTTGATGTTAGTACACTCAAGTAATCTATAATAAAGGATGGAGGAGGAATGTTAGCAACTTCAATTTAGCTTATTTTCAGTTTTTTCCCATCTTTTAATAAAATATAAAGCATTTAATTAGGGGGTAGGTTCCAAATCTTTGAATTGTCACTGATTTGAGGAATTCTCTGGATCTCAGTTTTTTCATTTTATAGAAGATTGCGTTATAGGATTTTCATAGTCCCTTTCAGCTCCAAAAGTTGTTTATCAAAAACTGTTGATCAATATGGAATGAAATAGCTGTCTTTGGTGTTTTTTCCTGAGCTCACTTTCTGGTAGAGGTGATGATGAACTATATATAAAGTGGTAAAAAGCTACTGATCTTCGAAGAGGAAATGAAGGCCTTCGATGTCCCACTAGATAGCATGAACAATTGAGATTTGACTGTTTACTTCATTGTGGATTTCATTTCAATATATTTTCTGGATATATATTAAGGATATGTTTTTATGGTGATGATACTGACAAGAGGAATAATTATAGTCTCTTTTTTGAGCCTTGGCTATATGTCAGGCACTGTTTTTCTCTCATCTCGAAAAAAACCAGACTCACTGCCAGCAAGTCGATTTGGACTCAGTGATCCCCTTTGGGTTTCTGAGGCAGTAAATTTTTATGGAAGTAGATTGCCCAGTCTTCCTTTTGTGGAGTGGCTGGGGGATTTGAACTACCAACCTTCTGGTTAGCAGTCAAATGTCTTAGGTACTGCACTACCAGAGCTCCTTTCTCTGGTAGGTAATTATTGCCATTAATTGTATAACTTTCCAGAGATGTTCTAAAGGTGTTTCAAATAGATGTGAAGATCTACTTTCTTTCCTCTCAGATGGTAGTATATTATATACATTGTTCTGTACCTTGTTTTTCCTCAACAAATTATCTTGGAAAATTTTCCATATTTGTATAAATAAATATTTTACTTTATTTTTTAAAAGCAAAACAAAACTCTTTGTATTCTATCATATGGAGATTGTATTTATTTAACCAGTTAATGCCTGTTGTAGGGCATTTATGCAGTTTTCAGTATTGCTTACAAGCAGTGTTGAAGTGAATATGATATATATATGTGTGTGTGTGTGTGTATGTATATACACACACATATGAAAAATATGCATGTATATGTCATTTTATAAGTCGTACCAATTTATACTCTTGTGCAGTACCTATTCATTACCAAAGGCTCATCAACAAACTTTTCCATTTTTGCCATGTGCTTTAAATACATCATGTCATTTAATTCCAACGTAACTAAAACCAAAGCAAACCAAGCTCACTACTGTCGAGTCAATTCTGACTCATAGTGACTCCTCTTTGTGCTTCCGAGGTGGTATCTCTACAGAAATAGATTGCCCAGTCTTCCTTCTGAGGAGTGGCTGGTGGGTTTGAACCGCCAGCCTTCTTGTTAGCAGTTAAATGCCTTAGGCACTATGCCACGAGAGCTGTGTTGAGAGCTCCCATGGCCAGTATGGAAAATTTGGCTTTCACGCAATTATGGTATGTTGCCTGCCTAATTACTCACTTTATCTTAAATTTTGGCGCATTGTTTCTCTGTTCAGATAATTAGAAGGTCATCATTTAGTTTAATGTGTATATTGCTTCTTATAATGTATATATTCAACTTGTTTTTCAAAGATTAAAAATAAGTTAATAACACCTACACAAAAACCCAAAACCTAATGCCATTGAGTTGATTCCGACTCATAGTGACACTATAGGACAGGATAGAACTGCTCCATAAAGTTTTGGAGGCTATAAATGTTTATGGAAGCAAAACAAGCTGCCTCATCTTTCTCCCATGAAGCAGCTGGTTGGTTTGAACCACTGACTTTTTAGTTAGCAGCTGTATGATTTAACCAGTGCATCACCAGAGCTCCGTTTAACACCTACGTATCCGTTATTAAAAAAGCAAATACCATTTTAGTACTGAGGTTTTCTTTGGTTCTCAGCTGTGGGTTTTTAAATTGTTGTCTTTATCACCAATTTCTGTCTTTATTCCAGTTAATCAGATTTTGCAAGGAAATCTGTGTAACTTGCCTGCAGGTTTTAAGACTTTTCATGGCTACATGAAATTTTAAATGTACAACATCCATGTGAAACTGATTTATTCCTGTTTGAGGGAGGCAGTGTTTTTTCCTCCTTTTATTGAAGATCTACTAGGAAAAGGGACAGTGTTTGAATAGTCTGTTTTTTATGTTTTGTTAATATTATTTTATACTGTTTTGAATAAAATACCATATTTGAGTAAAGAAAGTTTTTGTTTAGTGTAAATATTTTCATCTTTGCTTGAAAACTATGGTCAAAAAAATCGACACCTAAATGAAACATGCTTAAGTGTCACTTTGTTGTTTGGTAATAGAAATGCAAATAAAATATGTAAATTTTGTACTATCTTGCCTTTAAAAGAGTTTTATATGCTTTACTTCCTTGGCAGACAATTTGAGGAGCTAGCACCATGTTGTGATGCTGATACAACAGAACACTGTGTACATACATACGTGCCTCTCTGGCACTGAAGAAATGCTTTCCCTGTGTAGACAGAGTGCTAATTAAAGGATTTTGAACATACTGATTAAAAGAGACTAGGGTAACAAAGCTGCTGAGTTATTTCTGTTCTCTTACAAAAGTCTCAGCCATCTACTGTGACCTTTTTGGGCCTTGTGCAGTGGGGCATGCAATTCATACTGGACTAGAGAGGATGGGAAGGGGAGGGGGAGGAGAGGAGGGAATGTTGGCTCAACTGCTGCTAGGCTGTTGGCCTTTCATTGTAGTTATTTTTAACCCCTTGTGTGGCTCAGTTTAAATAGGTGTGATGATGTTGCCTAATAAAGATCTGTGCCCAGTAACTAATTTATATTGTTGTAGTAAAGATTATTAACATTACATAAGTTTTTAACTTGCTCTCATCTTAATTAGTTCTCTGGTTATACTTGTGCTGGCTTAATTATGCAGAGTTACTCAGATACTTTTCAGTAGTCATCAGATTCCTCAATTAATTGTATCAAGAAGCAGTTAAAACCTAGGAGCATGGCTTAATACACATACTTTAATAATTCATATTTTAATAGTGTCTGTGTAGTACTTAAGTAGCCTTGGTGGCACACTGGTTAAGTGAGCATTGGGCTGCTAACCAGATGGTTAGTGTTTTGAACCCACCAGGCTGCTCTGTGGGAAAAAGATGTGGCAGTCTGCTTCTGTGAAGACTTATAGCCTTGGAAATCCTATGGGCCAGTTCTGCCCTGTTCTGTAGGGCTGCTAGGAGTTGAAATTAATTCAGTAGCAGTAAGTTAGTTTTTGGTTTTGGTTATGAAGTTACTTAGCAAAGTTCGGCACATAGTATTCCCTCAGTTGTTGCTTTTTACAATAATAATATTATAAAATTAATAAGCAAAAGATTATTTAGAGACCTGAAACATTATATACCCTGTAGTTGTAAGGGAACAAAGCAATTTTATACATACATATACATACACATATACACACACACACACATATACACACACATATATATATTAGTGGGTTATAACTGAAAAAGAAAAGAAAATCAGAAATTTATGCTTTGTTAGAAACATATATCTTTATATTTAGGGTTCAAAAGTATAAAAATTTTTCCTGAGCAAGCATCATATTGAACTTTGGGCAGTTTCCATTTCTTTACATCAGATGTCTGTGGTATCAGATGTACTTTGAAATAGATAAGCTATTTTGGGGAGGACTTGAAAATTCTATTTTCTTGAGATTGTATTGAACCAACATGTGAATATGCTAAATATGACTTACATCTTAAAGCGTTCAAGTGATAAAATATACCTGGTTAAGTAGGACACATCTAAAGCATACAAGCTATAAAGGGTTAGTATTTCACTCAAATTTGGGCATCCTCTATATCGTATGAATTGTATGATTTTGACAGTTTTTGCAGATTTTAAAAGATCTTCAGATTGCTGTAACTGCATATTCACATGTCATTGTCTTCAATTTCCTGTCCTTAAGATGAAGTTGCTGGCTACAGAAGTTTGCAGACTGCCTTTTTATGGACCCTGTACTTATGAAATTGCCATGAAGCCATGGAATGTGGGGATGGGTTTCATTGTAGTAGTTTGGGTGTTTTGGTTTTTGCCAACATATTTTATAAGAAGAAATAGGAGACTGGTGTATTTCCAAGCCATATTTTGTCAAATTGTTACTCTTCATTATGGAGGGATAAGGATTATATATTTGTGAATAACATCTTTAAGAACAACATCCTAAGGTTGAAATATTCTGTCCCTTTTTTTGTGTTCTATTATGTTATGTTATGTTATGTGCCATCGAGTCGGACCCGACTCATAGTGACCCCTCCTTGGGTTTCTGAGGCAGTATCACTACGGAAGTATATTGCCCCATCTTCCTTCCAAGGAGTGGCTGGTGGGTTTGAATCACCAGCCTTCTGGTTAGCAGTCAAGTGCCTTAGCCGCTATGCTACCAGAGCTCCCAAGAACAACAAATTTTTCATAAACACATTTTAGAAGTTTCTTTAGCAGATCAGAATGAGGTCACACTTTTAATACCCAAATAATAATAATTTTGATACTCAAGAGTTAAGAGAGGATAAATTATCCTAAGCTCAGACAGACTTTTAGTTGAATTTTTGAGACTTTTATTTGAGAAGCAGAAGAGGTTGACCATTTTCTGGACTGTGGAGCCCATTTGGGAACATAAGGCAGAAAAAAGCAAGAGCTATGAAACACTTTCCTGTGAATTCATCCATTCAGCAATTATATTTTTGAGAGGCCATTGAAGAAGATACAGAGTATAAGGAAGTACAAAGGTTAGGAAGAAAAGCAATAAGTACAGTACTAGACAACATCATAAGACCTATCATAAGGCAATACTTTGAGATAC